TTTTTTTTTTTTTACTGTTGCTCACGATTCTGTTGTTGCTGTTGTGTTGGAATATTTTTTTATATATTCTGCTGTTGTGCTGTGCAATTTGACCGTAAGAAAAAAATAAAAATAAAATAAAACTGATGTGCTCACGATTGAGGAAGGAGGAAAAGTTAAAAAAAATGGTGAAATGAAAATGCTTGTGCGATTTAGGATGTGAATTTGGCTGAAACCAAAAAAATGAAGAACAAGATGTACCTTATTCTTCCTCAATGGTGAAATTAGAATTCAATGGTGAAATTATGGCTGCGCGATTTAGGGTGTGAATTTGGGGAAGAAGACCTGAATTTAAAGAGCTAATTTTAAAGGTAAAAAAGTAATTTCGCAACTATTGGGGTGAAAAAATGAAGAAAAAGCCGCACAACACGCACGTGCACGCTACTTTCGTCATCTTAGACGGTTTATGGGATTTTGTGCATGCAAAAGTACAACATAAGGCGGTTTGACATATTTTTTAAATTAGAGGGGATAACGCACATATTTAGTATATTCTAGGGGGTTTGGTGGAATTTACCCAAATCATATATTACTCCACGTATAGCCGTGAATTTCTACAATAAAACAATATAAATATAATTTTTTAATTGGGGAACTTCCTTAAAAATCCCAAAACCAATTTCTGATTTCCTCCTCAGTGCCCACACAATTTTTTTCCTCAACACTCCCTACCCTCTTAATCATCTTCCTCCATCTTCTTAAAATAAATCAAAATAAATTAACTTATTACATCATCCCACTACCAAACTAATTTTACTTATTATTTTATTATTTCACTCTCTTTCCACTACAATCTTCCTTAATTTTTTATTATTTTTCTCTCTCTTTCCATATATTAATTTATTATTTTATTTTTATCATCTTTTACTATTTATCTCCCATAATACTAATTTTCTTAATTTTTTATTAATTAATATAAATTTATTTGTATATATACTATCCAAGAACACACCATTTAGGACAAGCTACCCAGCTCTCACGACAAAAAAACCTAACCCCCAAATCTCTCACGCAGCTCCCCTTCTTCCCAGCGATTCCGTCTTCCTCGGCGACGATTAAGACCGACTAGGGGTCGTCCTCAACCGTTCGCTCCCCTCCTGGCGAAGCGATCCACTATTGCTGCCTCAGATGATCCATTGATGGGGCGCCAGTTTCGCGGTGGCAGATGGAGCTCCGGACGGCGGCGCAATACGAGGTCGAATACAGCCCGACAATTGGAATTTTTTCAGTCACCGGTAAGGTCGAGTTTGGTAACGATAAGTCCTGCTCTCTATCCTGTCAGTTGGGGTCGGATTTTGCTGGCTCCGGCGGTGCTTCTCTTTTTTTGTCGGGGCCAGGCCGCTTGTCGTTGGATGTCCGTGGTGGTGACGGATGGACTGCGAGTCATCGGTTGGGGAGGGACTCTGGCTACCGCGGCATTCTTTGTCGCGGCGGTTGGGGAGAGGGTCATTTTCTCCTACTCAATCCCCCGTTTGCCTAGTGGTGTTAGGCGGCGAGGAGGGTCTATCGGACTCGTCTAGTGGTGTTAGAAGAGATCAGATGGAATCGGTGTGGGGTGTACTTTGGCTTTATAGGTTGTCGATGGGTCGATTCAGGGACTGGTTCGGGGTTCGATTTCTGCTATTGTTTAGGCTTGATTGCAGTTTCCGCAGCAGATTCTTGGCTGAATTGGTCTTGTATCGATCGTTCAGTGCTGTTTCGGGCATGCTCGGTCGCTGGGGAAGGGTTGTTAGATTTATTTAGTTTTTTTTTGTGTTCTTGTTTTCTGTTTTTTGTAGTTGTGTTGTGCGTGTCTTGTGTTTTTGTTTTGGGCCGTTAGCCCCTGTGAACCCGAGTGTCACCTTATTATCCCACTGGGATCCGATACTCGGGTATAACCCTATTGGGATCTTTTTAGTTTGTTTTAGTTTAGTTTGTGTTTTGTAGTTTGTAGTTGGTTTGTCTGTTGCAAGCATTTTATTCTAGCGTTACTAGCCGGGACTCTTGGCGGTCTTCTGACCAGTCCTCCCACTTTTTCAGCTGTTGGCTGCTGTGTATTCACACATTTGTGCATTTTGATTTCTAATATCTCTTATCGTTCCAGATAAATATATATATATATATATATACATATATACTATCCAAATAAAAAAATATTATATTTTACGAATCATTTTTCATATAAATCTATATTATACTAAATCTATAAATCTATATTTTTGTCTTTCAAATTTATCAAGTAATTTTTTAAAATTAAAGTATAGATTTTAAATTTTATTAAAATATATTTATTCAAAGATCTATTTAATTTTCAAGAGGAATATATATCAACTAGTACAATATCTCTGTACTACACAGGTACGTAAATACATTAATATTTGTAAAATCAAAAAACTAAAATATTTTATTTTTATATTGTAAATTTATGTATAATAATAACTAACAAAGTAATAATTAATTCAAAATGGGGTCTGTATTTTTGCACTTAATTTTCTTATACTATATAAAATCTATGATAAAACGTGATATAGGATATTATCTGTGTAAATCTGAACCGATCTGATGAGCCGATTGAGAAGACCAAACCGGGAGCAAGCCAAACCAAAAGGCAGGAGGATGGGCGATCGAGCAACCCGATGCTCGACCAGACAAGCAATCGAATAATCCGATGCTCGACCTGACAAGCGATCGAGAAACCCGATGCTCGATCTGACAAGAGATCGAGCAGCCCAACGCTCGACCAGATACATCGAGCAATCCATCACTCGATCAGATAAGTGATCGAGCAAGCCAGTCGACCTCAGCAGGACGATCGCTTCGGGGAACCCACAATCGACCTAGGCCCAGGCGCGTGTGTTGCAGATGCGCGTGAGAGCCTCTAACTGAATCCTAGGAGAATATTTACCCCATGTACAGGGGGGGACACGTGTCGACAACGTAATGGGTGATAGCGATAACCACCTTTGACAGCTCCCAACGCCCCGCGCCACCTCTGACATGTGCGCGGCGTGTCAGAGTACGGACGGGCAGCTTGGGCAGCCAACTCAGCCTTATCCAGGCAGCTATTAGGGCAGGTATCTCACCCCTATATAAAGGGGGTGAGCCTTTCTTCCTGAACACATTCTATTCATTCCTTGTTTCCAGTATATACTCATACACATACTGACTTAAGCATCGGAGGCTCTTCACCGGACACAACCCCCGGTGTAAGAGTTATATGCAGGTTCCCGGCGTTCTACCAGCGAGGGACAAACTCTATTCGTTCCAAACCGGACCAGGACGCTCACACTTGCATTATTGGCGCCGTCTGTGGGGATCTTTTGTTCAAAAAGTTGTGTTTGAAGCTCAGCTATGGCGGACGGGATTCCCAAAAACTTGCAGTCGACGTTCGACAACGCTTGGACGACGACCAGGCCGATTGGACAAGGCCTTCCTCCGGTTTCTCTGGCCCTTTGCAGACGCCTGTTACTCCTACACCGGTCCCGCACCGTATAGGAGCGGTGGCAACAAACCCCGGAGGAGACGCTGGTCCCAGTCGCGCCAAGGAGGCACGAGCAGCAGCAGCGGCGGCGATGCCGCCCCCACCGCCTCACAATCCGGCGGTGACGCAGCTTGGAAACACGGCGATACAAGGCGGAGCCCCACCTCCAGTTCCTGGATAGGCCCCTGGCCAACAAATAGTGACGATGACCCGGGAGGAGATGCAGAGGATAGCGGCGGCCGCGGCGGCGCAGGCGGTGCAGCAGGTCACGAGTCACACATCCCATGCCACCACTGCGCCGACCACGGCAATAGGGAACCAGGACGAGGATGTATCCAGTTATGGAGAAGGAGGAGTTGTGAGGGACCGAGCAATGAAAAGAATGGCGGAGCAATTTCGCCAGTTGCAGGACAAAGTTGAAGGGAGGCCGGAGAGGAGGGCTCGAGGACATCCTTTCTCGAGGGAGATCCTCGCTGCGCCTCTGCCGGCTAATTTCAAGGAAACCAACTTAGTGTATGACGGGTCGTCTGACCCGTCGAGGCATGTGATGACCTTTGAAAATATGGCTGTGTTACATGGATATTTTGATTCTGTTTGTTGCAGGGCGTTTTTATCGACCCTACGTGGAGGAGCGCTTGACTGGTTTCATCAATTACCTTCGGGGTCGATTGCGGATTTTGAGGATCTTGCCAGTAAACTCACTAACCAATACTCAAGCGCGGTGGCGCAAGAGAAAACGTATTTGACTTTGATGGCAATGAGGCAGGGCGAGAAGGAGCCATTGAGGAAGTATGTTGCTCGATACAACCAGATGTGTTTAGAGTTGCACTCGACCTCGGATGAGGTGAAGGCGGGAGGATTGATAAGGAGTCTTCGAGCAGGGCCTTGCCGAACTTCCTTGGCAAAGACCCCGGCTCGATCATATGAGGATGTTCTGAAGCGGTGTAGAAAGTACATTAATCTGGAGGAAATGGAGATTGAGTTTGCAAAGCTCGAGGGGGTGGCTCGACCAGAGCCCAAGAAGGAGCGGAGCCCACTGAGAGGCAGATCACCAGGGAGGGGTTCGCCCAAGAGGAGCGGACAGAAGAGGGCATCTCCTCAGAGAGGAAGTCGAGATTCGAAAAGGGAAAAGAGGGATGAGTGGAAGAGGAAGCCGATGTTGTTCGAAAGACAGAGGTACCACACCTTTACGCCTTTAAGGAAAGATATGACAGAGGTGCTCGAGGCCATGGAGCAAAAGATGTCGACTGAGGATGTGACCTGGCCAAAGACAAGGTTTACGGGCCCACTTCGACCCAGGTCGGATTTGTATTGTTGATTTCATCGAGATTACGGCCACACCATGGAGAACTGCAGGCATTTAAAAGATGAGATTAAGAGGCTGATTCGGGCTGGATATCTGAAGGAGTTCGTCTATCATGACAAGGTGAAAGAAAAAGGAAGAAGGAGGTATAGGGATGATTCTGAAGAGAGGAGTGATAGAGATGGGGAAGGAGATGGCAGGGATGGTCGAGGAAAAAAGTCGAGGAGAGAGGGAGATAAGGGGGGTCAAGGAGTAGAAGCCCCGTTAAAGAGAGGGACGATTTACATGATTTCTGGAGGGTCAACAGATGGTGATTCCAATAGGGCCAGGAAGGAGCATGCTCGGGCAGTGAAGAGGAAAAGGGAGGAGGTGGGAATTACGGCTCGTATTCCAGTGATAAGTTTCAAGGCGGAGGATGCCGAGGGAGTGGTCTTACCACACAATGATGCTTTGGTGATAACTGCGAAGGTCGCGGGTTTTGACGTGAAGAGGGTGTTTATTGATACCGGGAGTTCGGTAGATGTCATGTTCTATGATTGTATTGTGCAGATTAATAAGGAGCTGCATATGGAGTTGAAACCGGTGACCACGACACTCTATGGCTTTAATGGAGGAGAGGTGATGCTGATGGGCGAGGTGAGTTTGCCAGTGGCGCTGGGAGTGGGAGAGCTGAGGAAGGTGCGCATGGTGAGGTTTGTGGTCGTAGGAGCTGAATCATCTTATAATATCATTATGGGGCGGACGAGCTTGAATGCGTTCCAGGCGGTCGTAACCATGTACCACATGATGATTAAATATCCAGTGGGCGAAAACGTAGGGGAGATCGCAGGGACCAGCTCACTTCGAGGAGCTGCTACCAAACAACAAGTAGCAATAATAAGCAACTGGCGAAGAGGCAGGCCAAGTCAGAGGGACAGAGGATTAATCGACCAGTGGGTCGAGGTCGAAAGAGGATAAACAAATAATGGACAAGGGTAAAGAGAAGATGGATATTCAGCCAGTGGGAGAAGTGGAGCAGATTCAGATGATCGAGGGGTGTGAGGAGAGGAAGTTTAGAATCGGGAAAGACTTGGAAGAGCCTATTCGGTCGAGGCTTATTGATCTAGTCAGGGAGTTCGCTGACATGTTTGCATACACAACGGACGAGTTGACGGGGATAAGTGCGGAAGTGATCGAACACCAGCTGAACATCGACCTCAGTGTGATGCCGGTGAAACAAAAAAGAAGGCACCATGGGGCGGAGATGGACAAAATCATTGAGAAGGAGGTCGAGAAGCTATTGGGAGCAGGGCATATCAAGGAAATTCAGTTCCCCTAATGGTTGTCGAATACGGTGATGGTGTCGAAGGCAGAGGAAAATGGAAGATGTGCATTAATTTTCGTGACCTGAACAAAGCATGCCCAAAGGATATATACCCGCTGTCCAGAATCGACCAGCTGGTCGACTCAACGGCAGAGTGCGAATTGCTGAGCCTGATGGATGCCTCCCAGGGATATCATCAAATTCCCTTGGCAAGAGAGGACAGGAAGCGGGTGAGTTTTGTAACAAATCGAGGGACCTATTGTTACGTGGTCATGTCGTTCGGTCTAAAGAATGCGGGTGCCACATACCAAAGGTTATTCGATAAAATTTTCAAAGAGCAACTGGGAAGGAACATGGAGGTATATGTCGACGACATGTTGGTGAAAAGCAAGGAGGAGTTAGATCATGTGCAAGACTTGAAAGAAACATTCCTAACATTGCGGAGGTATGGGATGAAATTGAATCCTGCTAAGTGCTCTTTCGGGGTGAAGTCGGGAAAGTTCTTGGGTTACTTGGTGACCAAGAGAGGTATTGAAGTGAATCCTGAGAAGGTTCGAGCTGTGATGGAGATGAAGCCGCTGACGAATGTTAAAGAAGTGCAGATCTTAGCTGGTCGAATTGCGGGGCTGAGTCGTTTCATATCAAAGGTGGCGGAGAAGAGTGGCCCATTATTTAAAACATTGAAGAAGAGTGCAAAATTCCAGTGGACGGAGGAGGCGCAGGGGGCTTTCGAGGAGTTGCGAGGGGTGTTAGCCAACCTTCCCCTATTGGATAAACCCGTACAAGGCGAGGAATTGGTGCTATACATTTCTATAGGAGAGAGGGCTGTGAGCTCGGTGTTATTACGGGAGGAAGGAGTAGCACAATTTCCCATCTACTACGTGAGTAGGGTGATGTAGGGGGAAGAGATGAGATACTCAGAGATTGAGAAGTGTGCATTGGCCGTGGTCGTAATGGCTCGAAAGTTGAGACCTTATTTCTTGAACCATAAAGTGAAGGTACGAACAAACATGCCGCTAGGAGAAACGCTCGGCCGACCATCGGTTTCTGGTCGATTGGTAAAATGGGCGGTCGAATTGAGTGAATATTCTTTGTTGTACGAGCCGAGGAGAGCCATAAAGGCGCAAGTGTTGGCTGATTTTATCCAGGACGGCACGAAAGTTGAGGAGGAGTTAGGAGGATTATGGCAGTTGTTTGTGGACGGATCTGTAGCACGAAGCGGAGCAGGATTGGGAATCGTCCTTGTCTCTCCTAAGGGCGATTACTTGGAGTTTGTGGCTAAATTGGGGTTCAAGGTATCCAATAATGAGGCCGAGTATGAAGCAGTAATCAAAGGCGTGAGCTTAGCCAAAGCGGGAGGAGCGCGAAAATTACAAGTGCATTCTGATTCTCAACTGGTCGTTGGGCAATTTCAGGAGGGGTTTGAAGTCAAGGAGGACCAGATGCAAAAGTATGTGGATAAGATGAGGAAGTTGAAAGAGGAGTTCGATTCATTCGAGCTGATACAAATCCCTGGAGGAGAAAATGGTCGGGCGGACCTATTATCGAAAATCGCTCAGAGCTTGGTGGGCTGTAAGAGCAGAAGTGTCACTTTATTACATCTTGAAAAGAGTGTGGTCGAAGCAGAAGTGGCGGAGATCGAAGACGTGGGAGATTGGAGGGCCCCAATCTTGGGGGAGCTGAAAGAAGGAACGATAAAAGTGGTGAGGAGGTTTTTCGAGCATGGAGGTATTCTTTACAAATGGTCGTATGGGGGACCACATTTGCAGTGTGTTACTAAGGAAGAGGGTCGATATGTGCTGAGAGAGATACACGAAGGATGCTGAGGTGACCATAGCAAGTCAGGGGCTTTGGTCGCAAGGATTTTGAGGGCGGGATATTTTTTGCCAACGATGAGGGAGGATGCGAAAGCAATGGTGAAGAAGTGCTTGCAATGCCAAAAACATGGTCCTCTTATTCATCAGCCGGCAGAAGCAATGACAACGATGAGTGTCCCTATACCATTTGCCCAGTGGGGTATCGACCTGGTGGGGCCGATGCCTCAGGGAACTGGGCAGAGGAAGTTCTTAATAGTGGCGGTCGACTATTTCACAAAGTGGGTGGAAGCCAAACGTTTACCGAAGATTACGGAGGAGAAAATAATTAAATTTCTATACAATAACATCTGCTGTCGGTTTGGCGTACCCAAAGTGTTGATCTCTGACAACGGCACTCAGTTCAATGGTAAGCGAATTCGAGCGTGGTGTGAAGACATGAAAATCGATCAACACTTTGCCTCCGTTGCTCATTCACAAGCCAATGGCCAAGTTGAAGTAACCAACCGAATTATACTGAATGGGTTGAAAACGAAGTTGGAGAAGGCCTCGGGAACATGGGTTGATGAGCTAAGTTCTGTACTTTGGGTGTATCGCACAACCCCGAGGTCGACAACAGGAGAAACCTCGTTCAGCTTGGCTTATGGAATGGAAGCGTTGCTGCCGGTCGAGGTCGAATTATCATCCCTGAGGTCGAGCACATATAATGCTGAGCAGAATGAAGATCTGATGATGGCGGCCTTAGATACTATTGAGGAGCTGCGCGGAAAAGCAGCAATCAAGGTGGAGGCGTACAAGCAAAGGATGCGAGCCGCTCACGACAAAAAGATGAAAATTCGCAGACTCCAAGTGGGCGATCTGGTGTGGAAGCGTGTCGATTTGCTCAAGCATGTGGGAAAGCTGGAGCCGAAATGAGAAGGGCCATACCTTGTCGAGCGAGTGCACGCAGGAGGAGCGTACTCGCTGAAGGATGCTGAAGGCCGATCACTTACCAGCTCATGGAACATAGCTAATTTGAAAAAATATTATGTGTGAAAATTTTTTGCTTTTTTTTAAGTAAGCTAGAAAATTCGAACAAAGATGTAAATTGCAAAGAGTGCCCAAAAGTCAATGAAGTCCTGTGATTCTTCTGATTTTACTCGCTTTGTTGCACATTTTCTTATGCTTGGAATGTTTGTATAATTTGGATGACAGGATGTATGTGGTGTGGTTTGACTTGGAAGTCACATGTTTAGAACATCCCTTGGGGTGGGCAGGTTGGTCGAAGACCTCCTGTTTAGAACATTCCTCGCGGGTGCAAGTGTGAAGACCAAAACCCACCATGACTAAGGCTCTCGGGCTGGGTGGTCGCTTGTTTAGATAATCCCTT